GGGCCTACTTATCCATGACCCGGACAATCGCCCAACATACCTTCTCGATCGCCGAGTACTTCTGCCCAGCGTTGGTCGGTAAACACTGGAATATTCGGTAACTCCTTTCCTCTTCTTTACGACTGCGCCAATACGGCGATCACTAGCGTCCGTTGCAGCCATGAACATCCGTTCGACTCTGGCGTAGCGGCCAGGTTCAGTATGTTGACCCTGTCCCGTTATCAGTCGGTTCGTGATTTCGTGATGCAACTGCGGACACAGAAGGCCTAATGTGATTGCGGTGCCCAATTGGAAGGCCAAATGTGTGATTGGCTTATTGTTGCCATTCAACTGCCCCATTGCATTGGAAGCTGCCGCCTTGTCCAAAAAAAGGCAACCTATTCGGAAAATATGTGAGCAGTATGACGATGTGAAACATGTGTCGAAGACTGATGAAACAGTGTTGTTGAATTAGTTCGGAAAAATTAAAGGATGCGGATAAACAACAAATTCAAACCCCGAACGAAATCCATCGGAACGTCACTCCACAGATCGTAATTCTAATTCAGTTGTTCAAAAGTTTATGAAGTGCGAATCTTATAGAAGAAAACATTCCAGATACTCATACCCTCACCGACAAGCGAAATGCTTTATCTGCAGTGAAACCGGAAACATTGAATTTGTCCGTAAGTCCAAATGATCCAAATTGATCCAGGTGATCCACTTACTGACGCGAAGGCATTAGCTGAATACATCTCTACTCTTTCTCCATCCACTTTCTACCGAAATTCGTCACATGTTTTAAAACTGCTTCTAGTAAAAACAATCCAAATTTTCACACTGGCAGTGCCGAGTCTATTATTCTACGGTCAGATCTAACTGCATTCTACCCATGCGTCGTGGCAGTGCCTACAGATATTGACATTCGTGGTATCACTGGACATTCTGACCACTTGTTGGGAGCCGCCCGATTCCTGTGAGATTCCCACAAAGTAGCTCCATCGACTGTAACCTTTTTGGTTTCAACCTCGGGACCATGGATTATCGGCCTCAAATGTCTGCGCTCACTGTAACCGATATCACCTTACTAACTTCTGTGAATGAGATTGAATTCAAACAACCGGTTCATAAATCTTCTAAGGCTACAGGTGGCCTGCAGTTGCTCGAGGTGAAACTCGAAGTCGCAGGAGATCCCACATTTCTCAAAGGTCAAATTCTCTCTTTTGTCGTACGCGAACCTGTTCGTCAAACATTAAAATTAGTGCGAGGGAAAAGAATACTGATTCCTGTCGAATCATCGAATTGGGCAACTCGGATATTAACAACAATAAAGGTTGATGGTTTTACTCCAATAATCTGTGGAGACTACCGGCTAACACTAAATGAGTGGCTACTACAACGTACATGCACTAAGGAATAGTCCGATATGTACTGTGTTGTTTATGGCGTTCAAGTTTATTCTCAAAAATCTAAATAAAGAATGTCTGTCTTCAAAAACCACTGGGTGAAGCGTCTAGTCATCTTACCATGATCTACACACATTTTGGTTTATTCCGATCAAACTGCCTTTTATTTGGTCTGAATAATTCACCAGCTGTATCTCAACAAGTTATGAATACTAGTAAAACGATTTAGAGGGTTTTGAGACGTATCGAGATAATTTCATGCTGCTGACAAAGTTACTCATGGTATGCGTCTGTCGATCTTGCTTGATCGATTTTCCGGTTTCATTGTAGCTGTTCACCCCAATAAATTCACCTGTGGTGTTCTATCATTTTTATGTCTTGGTGACATTATGCTTGGCAGTGGTTTGAAACCCAATACAAACCTGTCATCTCCTAAGGTAAATGTGCCATCACCAACAAATCTGCAAGAACTGCGGTCACTTCCAAGAGCCCTTCTCTATTACTCCCGTTTTATTCCTGATTTCGCTAAATATGCAAGTTGTCTGTTTGATGTCCCAACTGCATAGGTCGTTGACAATGGCACACATTTCAATGCAGAATCCCTCGAGTGGTGATTGTAAGTTTTTCGATGTCGACATCTTACAGCTCTACGACATCATCAGCCAAATAGGTCTGCTGAGAAATTTTTCCGAACACTGTGAGCTGTCAATGCTTCATTTTACCCTACTTCATATGTGTGATTTGACTGTGGAATCCAGAATTTCTCAATGCAATACAGGAAAATTCCTGCGCTTCTATTTGAATACTGTACGTTGCGTACTAGTCTTGACTGTGCCAAATCGGATGACATTACATTTTTCAATGGTGGTGAGTTACGACCAGCTATCAGAATAACACTTTGACCAAACAGCAAACGTGTGATTACCGTTCTTGATTCGGAGGATCTCCCTTTTGACCAGAGACACACTGACCAGATTGAGCTCAGTACCAGATGTAAGTATGTTAACGGCACCCATGATGTTCCCAATACAGATGATTCTTATGTAGCTGATCTTAAAGTGTCCAAACACAACGTTATATTTGAAAAACACACTAAGTGAATGCTGCACATATACGCCAATTGGAATACATAGGTGTCACATGTTACGCTGTGCTGTAATCTGTATTTATATTCCTTCCGTTTATACCAATATACGTGCGGAACTCAGTTCTCACTCCCTCATAGATGAAATCAGGAAACGTTCGCATTGCTTGTTTAAGAACGCCTTTTGGGCCCTTAAAGCCAATATCAAGTTTCTTTGTACCAAATTGCTAATCTTTCTACCGTCCCACTTTTCAATGCAACTCGAGACACTCTCGAATTCTAAACAGGAGCAGCCGAAATGCCAGGCTTATGCCCGGACCGTGAAAGCTCCGGTCACTCATTTCGTCCGCTAACCACTGAGCTATCTCGAAATCTCTAGAAGCAATGCCCTCACTCTAATACGGGGCATCTAATAGTTGTTCAGTGGTTTTCGTTGTGAATCTAAAAAATTAGGAAGTGGGTGCTAGACCGAGGTGCCCGATTCGCTTTTGCCGTTTTCGTAGCACATTCAGTCTGGGAAAAAATCGACAGGTTAAGTCTCTTGCGTCTTGCTCAGTTTTCGTCTCCTATTGTAAAAGACATCATTTAGGTTAGTGAATCTGCAACTTAGGGAAACAAAATGCCAATTCCGATTTAGCTTGTCCTGAGAATTGCAACGTGGCCAAATATCATACTCCTACATACGGTGATTTAACCATCCTCTGAAGGAGCAACGTTTAGGTGATTCATCATTTGGACACAAATAAAACCACGAGTAATTCGCGCACCGAGAGGGATTAATCAAATCGTCATCGAAGATAATTCTGAAACTTTGCTTAATTTAAAATCTAGCTGAAGAAGATCAGTATGAACGAGAGAATTATTTGTGTTCAGTTGAGTGCCCCATTAAGACGTAGTCAATGTGCGAATGAGAGTGTTTGTATTTATCAGGAAGGTCCGATTCATGAAGATAACCCTAAGAAGGTCGGAACCCACTGACACCCTAAAACTCCACAAAAATCTGAGTAGGGGGTCCGGCAAGCATGCAGGCCGGTCAGTCATTCAACCAATCCAGCTACAGCCAATGAGCGATCATCCATGCCACAGAAGCACTCCCAAATATGGTTAGCGTACCGGCATCTCACAGAAACACGACCGAATATGATTGGCGTACAGGCATCTCACAGAAGAACGATCGATATTGATGGGAGTTCACTAAACGCCTATCGGACTGCCTGCATGAATGCAAGAAAGTGCTCTTTAAATAGCGCGGAGCCGTTGTAACTTTTCCACTAGCACGCACACGCTTGTTTGGAATTAGGGTGCTGTGTATCCTTTCAGGCACTAGGCACACGAGTGGAAAAAGCAGTACCAGTAATATTCCTTTACTTTTACTCTGATATGAATTCAAAGAGGAGGTGTAGCTGAAGATTTTGTATATTGTTGTGCACATTTTACATAAACACTTCCGTCGCACTCTGTGGGTTAACAGCTCTGGTCAACCGCAGAATGACTGTCCAGTACGGAGTGAATTTGTACGTTAGTGCCATCTGCCACACCGTATGTACTCGGTGGCTTTATTCGTCTTTGATTTGTTCATCTGCGATGTTCTATCAACCTTGCTTCAATTGGACATGAGACTGTACGCCTATCAAATGAAACGTACAAAAGTGAGACCTGCGGTGATTTGCTGAAGGTTGTTCAGCATTCTTATGGTAGCAGGACATTTCAAGAATAGTTGAAGAGATTTTATTGCGTAACAACCGAGTAATCAACAGGCTTGTTTTGTCGCCTGGCGTTTTATTGTTCATTTCCCAAGCAGGTATTCTTCCTCCTCTATTAATCGATCTGTCCATTGTGCTGATTTCTGTGCGGTACTGCGCATCCGGCGTGTCCAAAATTTCTTCTTTGTGGTACCTGGAAAATGATTCCGGACTAAATGCATCTGGCTTGTAGTTGATCTCTTCCCGTCACCTGCGCATTAACTTTGACCATTTGATGAATATGATACAATAACATCACATGGAAAATGTGTTAAGAGAACAACTGCTCAAGACAGAAAATTCCAAAAGACTCCATACCAGTCTGATTATTCGACAGATTACCCCTTCCCAAAGATCTCATTTATGCATCCGATAAATCTCTAGAGGGCTGTATTAGAGCTCATCGAAAGTCGATGGGGCTAAGTTTGATGATGCGTCTCTATCACGTCTAGAGTGATCACGAAAGACACCGAAATTTTAGTAGTGGGTTTGAGTCGAGAGACGACACAAAACTGTTCTAGCTGTGTCGGCCGACTGGCCTATGTTTGTCCGTCCTGTGGACCTAACGTGCATTGCTACGTCAGATATGTGGAGGCGTCTTGATGAGTCCACAAAGTTTGAGAATCCTGACGGTTTTACCTAAATGCTATTGGTTTTTACCGAGCCATCTTTGGACGGCTAGCTTGATAGAAAAACACAACTCTTGTTTCGCGGCGACTGCAAATCATGATACGGAACAGCTGTAAGTCATTTTATTTTGGCAAAATCAGGCAACAAAGGGCGTGTCCGTTAGGAACAGACGTTGTGGACAGAGTCGATGAGGGTTCCAACCTCGTATCCGGCTTTGCACAACTCCATCAAATGTGTTGTATGCTGGGCTACCTCGGGGACCTGAAGACAGATAGATACCAGGATCTCAGCTAAGAAGTCAATCTAATCGTTAGAGCTAATGATTCACCACACATACAAAAATCTACGCATGCCACATTTTGAGCATAGGTTTGTACTAATGACTGAGAATGTTTTCAAAAGAAGAGGGCTATGTTTTCACACAAGATTCCTCCAAACGTTCACCAACAGCCTCCAGTATTTTCGTAAAAACCTGGCGATTATGCTAAACAGTTGGATGATTGGCTCTGAGGCACACTGAATATCAAGTAGATATTGGGTCCGCGATTAAAACTGGTATTTGTAAGAGGGGTTGTTGAATATCGGTATATCTGAATTCCGAACATTTCGAAACGTTTTGATTAGGACTCGCACGATACCAGTCAAGAATGCGCACAATATTTAAGCTACGTAACAGACGGGTGAAAATGTGTGAAATCCACGAAACAAAATACGTAGTAAAGCGATAACTGGTTTCGCCCGTCTTAAGGCTCATCAGGTAGTCGGAGTCCCAGAGTTTCCGTCAAACTCATGGCCTGCTTGAACCCGACAGAATTTGTCAAATGCTCCCGCTTGTAAACGACTATGTTTTCGACAGGGGACACAAATGAACCGTAGTGAGTCACACAGCGCAATAGCTGGGCATCCGCGGCCTTTCAACCATAATAATTGCAAGTAGAATCGAACGAGTTTCGTACAAAACAGGCTTGTATCATTGATCAAAAAGAGGGATATATACCATCTTATACAGAATAAACAGAGGATAAGTCAAAAGAGGTTTGAAAGTGGCTGTCAAAACATTGAAAACAAGATACACACCCAAAGTGAGACAGAGGTATTCGAGTTCATTAGTCATGGATATCATCTTGGGGATATCTTTCTACAACCGCAACAATTGTTCCAGCTTTCTGTCGGTTGGCCATCTATTTGATCGGAAAAATCCTACTAAAAATTGTGCGTTTTTAAGAACAGACCTAACGATCCCAGCCAGATATGCTGACCACATCATGCTTCAGTATATTCCTTAGCAGTGTTGAACACAGGACCCTGCACAAACAAGGAAGCCCCTACTCACGGCTGTCCTGTGTCACTTCCAACATCCATCTATCACATTTTCGTGGCTTTTGTTTTTTGCTGGTTAGAACTCAGTTCACAATGGGTTCAAAGTGAACTTAACTAAACTAAACTAAAGTGAAATTGAATTGATCTGAACTGAACTGAACTGAACTAAACTTAACTTATCTGAATTGAACATTGATCTGAAGAAGTGAACTGAATTGAAGCGAACTGAATTGAAAACAGGCCACTTCCGCCAGAGGCTCTTAGTCTTGTAATACCCATATGCTTACTCCATAACACTTCCCATTGTGTAAAATACCGATTTATCTACATCACATTCCAAATTCCATAACTCGGCTTAGTTCAAACAGAAACAAAGTTAAACTAGAGCAAAATTAAACTGAACTGAACTGAACAGAACTGAACTGAACTGAACTGAACTGAACTGAACTGAACTGAACTGAACTGAACTGAACTGAACTGAACTGAACTGAACTGAACTGAACTGAACTGAACTGAACTGAACTGAACTGAACTGAACTGAACTGAACTGAACTGAACTGAACTGAACTGAACTGAACTGAACTGAACTGAACTGAACTGAACTGAACTGAACTGAACTGAACTGAACTGAACTGAACTGAACTGAACTGAACTGAACTGAACTGAACTGAACTGAACTGAACTGAACTGAATGAAACAGAAGTGAAATGAACTCAACTGAAGTGAACTGAATTAAACAGAGGTGAACTGAACTGAAATGAAATGAACTGAATTGAATTCAGGCAGCTTCATCCAGCAGCTGTCAAATTTGGCATACCTATATTCTTACTCCATTACACTTCCTGAACTGAACTGAACTGAACTGAACTGAACTGAACTGAACTGAACTGAACTGAACTGAACTGAACTGAACTGAACTGAACTGAACTGAACTGAACTGAACTGAACTGAACTGAACTGAACTGAACTGAACTGAACTGAACTGAACTGAACTGAACTGAACTGAACTGAACTGAACTGAACTGAACTGAACTGAACTGAACTGAACTGAACTGAACTGAACTGAACTGAACTGAACTGAACTGAACTGAACTGAACTGAACTGAACTGAACTGAACTGAACTGAACTGAACTGAACTGAACTGAACTGAACTGAACTGAACTGAACTGAACTGAACTGAACTGAACTGAACTGAACTGAACTGAACTGAACTGAACTGAACTGAACTGAACTGAACTGAACTGAACTGAACTGAACTGAACTGAACTGAACTGAACTGAACTGAACTGAACTGAACTGAACTGAACTGAACTGAACTGAACTGAACTGAACTGAACTGAACTGAACTGAACTGAACTGAACTGAACTGAACTGAACTGAACTGAACTGAACTGAACTGAACTGAACTGAACTGAACTGAACTGAACTGAACTGAACTGAACTGAACTGAACTGAACTGAACTGAACTGAACTGAACTGAACTGAACTGAACTGAACTGAACTGAACTGAACTGAACTGAACTGAACTGAACTGAACTGAACTGAACTGAACTGAACTGAACTGAACTGAACTGAACTGAACTGAACTGAACTGAACTGAACTGAACTGAACTGAACTGAACTGAACTGAACTGAACTGAACTGAACTGAACTGAACTGAACTGAACTGAACTGAACTGAACTGAACTGAACTGAACTGAACTGAACTGAACTGAACTGAACTGAACTGAACTGAACTGAACTGAACTGAACTGAACTGAACTGAACTGAACTGAACTGAACTGAACTGAACTGAACTGAACTGAACTGAACTGAACTGAACTGAACTGAACTGAACTGAACTGAACTGAACTGAACTGAACTGAACTGAACTGAACTGAACTGAACTGAACTGAACTGAACTGAACTGAACTGAACTGAACTGAACTGAACTGAACTGAACTGAACTGAACTGAACTGAACTGAACTGAACTGAACTGAACTGAACTGAACTGAACTGAACTGAACTGAACTGAACTGAACTGAACTGAACTGAACTGAACTGAACTGAACTGAACTGAACTGAACTGAACTGAACTGAACTGAACTGAACTGAACTGAACTGAACTGAACTGAACTGAACTGAACTGAACTGAACTGAACTGAACTGAACTGAACTGAACTGAACTGAACTGAACTGAACTGAACTGAACTGAACTGAACTGAACTGAACTGAACTGAACTGAACTGAACTGAACTGAACTGAACTGAACTGAACTGAACTGAACTGAACTGAACTGAACTGAACTGAACTGAACTGAACTGAACTGAACTGAACTGAACTGAACTGAACTGAACTGAACTGAACTGAACTGAACTGAACTGAACTGAACTGAACTGAACTGAACTGAACTGAACTGAACTGAACTGAACTGAACTGAACTGAACTGAACTGAACTGAACTGAACTGAACTGAACTGAACTGAACTGAACTGAACTGAACTGAACTGAACTGAACTGAACTGAACTGAACTGAACTGAACTGAACTGAACTGAACTGAACTGAACTGAACTGAACTGAACTGAACTGAACTGAACTGAACTGAACTGAACTGAACTGAACTGAACTGAACTGAACTGAACTGAACTGAACTGAACTGAACTGAACTGAACTGAACTGAACTGAACTGAACTGAACTGAACTGAACTGAACTGAACTGAACTGAACTGAACTGAACTGAACTGAACTGAACTGAACTGAACTGAACTGAACTGAACTGAACTGAACTGAACTGAACTGAACTGAACTGAACTGAACTGAACTGAACTGAACTGAACTGAACTGAACTGAACTGAACTGAACTGAACTGAACTGAACTGAACTGAACTGAACTGAACTGAACTGAACTGAACTGAACTGAACTGAACTGAACTGAACTGAACTGAACTGAACTGAACTGAACTGAACTGAACTGAACTGAACTGAACTGAACTGAACTGAACTGAACTGAACTGAACTGAACTGAACTGAACTGAACTGAACTGAACTGAACTGAACTGAACTGAACTGAACTGAACTGAACTGAACTGAACTGAACTGAACTGAACTGAACTGAACTGAACTGAACTGAACTGAACTGAACTGAACTGAACTGAACTGAACTGAACTGAACTGAACTGAACTGAACTGAACTGAACTGAACTGAACTGAACTGAACTGAACTGAACTGAACTGAACTGAACTGAACTGAACTGAACTGAACTGAACTGAACTGAACTGAACTGAACTGAACTGAACTGAACTGAACTGAACTGAACTGAACTGAACTGAACTGAACTGAACTGAACTGAACTGAACTGAACTGAACTGAACTGAACTGAACTGAACTGAACTGAACTGAACTGAACTGAACTGAACTGAACTGAACTGAACTGAACTGAACTGAACTGAACTGAACTGAACTGAACTGAACTGAACTGAACTGAACTGAACTGAACTGAACTGAACTGAACTGAACTGAACTGAACTGAACTGAACTGAACTGAACTGAACTGAACTGAACTGAACTGAACTGAACTGAACTGAACTGAACTGAACTGAACTGAACTGAACTGAACTGAACTGAACTGAACTGAACTGAACTGAACTGAACTGAACTGAACTGAACTGAACTGAACTGAACTGAACTGAACTGAACTGAACTGAACTGAACTGAACTGAACTGAACTGAACTGAACTGAACTGAACTGAACTGAACTGAACTGAACTGAACTGAACTGAACTGAACTGAACTGAACTGAACTGAACTGAACTGAACTGAACTGAACTGAACTGAACTGAACTGAACTGAACTGAACTGAACTGAACTGAACTGAACTGAACTGAACTGAACTGAACTGAACTGAACTGAACTGAACTGAACTGAACTGAACTGAACTGAACTGAACTGAACTGAACTGAACTGAACTGAACTGAACTGAACTGAACTG